TCTATATATCTTCAAATATTAAATATATTTATTTAATTGCAAGTTAATATGTAAAATTTTGTGTAATTGTATTTTAATTCAAATGTATCAAGTTGGTGTACTATGCTTAATGAGATGACCAATATTAAAGTGTAATAACTAAGTAAATATTCAATTTTAGTAGAACAAAAAAATGAGGCATAATCAAACAAATTTAAAGCAAGCAAATATTACTAGGAAAAAAAAAAGCTTGGAACACTCATGAGAAATTGGCAATTGTCACATACCTGGAAAAAAATCCTATAGCTAGTAAACAGAGCACTGCAGAACAATTTAATATCATCCCAAAACAAGTATGAGAGTGAATCAAAAAAAAATGAATTGAAAAACATTCCACTATATGTCAAATGGTTAAACATTAGTATACACCCTAAGTATCCTCTTTTAGAAACCAAGCTTAAAGTGTGGGTCAGATCTTTACATTCAAAACAAAAAATTATATCTTGACACATGATTAAAACTAAAGCAAAACAGTTTGCAAGCCAGTTACATTTTATTTCACTTTATCCAACAATTAGTACATGCAAGTGGAGTAATAAGTAGGTAGAAGGTTTTATGCATAACAACAAATTTAGTGTTCAGTGTTGTACTACAGTTGCACAAAGATTACTAGAGGAATTAGAATCTCAAAAAAGTGAATTTTTAAGTTATGTACTGTATCACTGTATGCTTTACAATTATTTACTTTTACTGATAGGAAATATGGATGAGACACTACTAGCATTTGATATGCCTGATAATTTTACAGTTGAAGAAACTGATGCTCAAACCATTGCAATTTGCACTTGTGGATATGAAAAGTCCAATTTTACAGTTATTTTAAGCTGTTTAGCTGATAGAACTAAACTGCCTTCTATGATAATTTTTAAATTAGTAAATGTGTCATGACAATCATTTTTATTAGGTATTGTAATATGTACCAATTGAGAAGAATATATGAATGCTGAAGAAATAATTTATTGGATAGAACATATTTGGAATCATGAGCACCTTTGTCTAATCCCTGTTCATTATTAGTTTTGGATTCATTTCTTGGTCATATTACCACTTTGGTTAAAAATCATTTAAATGAAAAAAATACTAACATTGCAGTTATCTCAGGCAAGCATACCAAAACATTGCAGCCTTTGGATGTATACATTAACAAGTATTTTAAAGAAAAGGTAATATGAATATTTTATTTAAATAACTCATTATTTTGAATTGCAATTCTTGTGAAATTTATTTTTAGAAAATTGACAAAGACATATTATTGTAAATATATAAAAACAACACTTTTCTTCTCTTTTTCTCCAACTTCCAAAATACTTCTTTTGCACATACCCAAATTTAATTTCTTGGTTTTCATAACATGAAATTTTCAAATAGATCTGGCTTTTTTTAAAAAAATTTTTTTACAAATTTTCAAATTTTAACTGGCCAAGTTATAAAAATCAATTAATTAAATTTGCATAATCTAATATAAAATAATTTAAAATTTATTCTTTAACAAAAATTTCTTTTAATGGGTTTTATATTTAGGTTTAACTAAGTGTAGTAAAATATACTATTTGTCATCATAAGCTATTATAAAACATTTTTATGATATCATTATAATGGGAGTTCACTTATAATATTATTATTTATATCTTTTGACAATTAATTTTGTATACTTTTATATAAATATCTCAGAATTGTTTAATAAGTTTAATTACATAATTATTAATTTGTTTTTAAGTATCATAATTTCTACCTTGATTGGATGAGCAAAGAAGTTAAAAAACTGATACCTACTGACCATATCCAACAACCTGCTTATAATATAGTAGTTCAATAGGTAAAAAAAGCATAAGACCAGGTTGACCCTGCCTATATTATGCATTCATTTAAGTGTTGTGGCATCTCTACTACTCAGAATGGATCTGAAAAAGATGTAATGTTTAATTACAATTGGGTAGAGAATCCAGAAGCTCAAAGCAAAAAAGTTGACTATGTATATGTTAATACAGATAGTGAAAGTGATAACGAAAGTGTTGTTGATTTAATCCGAGATGATAGTAATGGTGATGATAATGGTAATAATAATGAGGGAAATAATGATAGCAGTAACAATAATAATATAGATGAATGTAAAGATTTCAATTAGAGTGAAGATGAGAATGATAACAGAAGTAAAAATGATGATGCAACTAGTAAGTACAAAAATTAAAAACTTTTAGATCTAAATCTTGTTCATTTTAACAAACAATTATATGTACACTATACTAGTTCATAAGTTAGAATTTAGAAAAATTTCTAATTCTGTATATTCAGTAATTTTAAAATGAATAATAATATATATTGCTAAATTACATTTAGACAGAACCAACAATTCAGATAACTGATTTAACTCACTTGATCAAGAAAGTGAAAGTAATAAAGATTCATATTATGATAATGAAATTACTAAATATGTTCCTATGTGAAATTAGAACCATTTCTCTAAATTATAACAAACTATCCAACTCATCACATGATGAACAAAAAATCACTTGCAAGTTTAAACAAATCATTAGAAAATAATCAAATAATGCATAGGTTTATATAATGGTAAATAGATTTTTGCAATGGGCAAATATTAAGAGTTTTTTAAAGTATCATAGAATAACCATATAGCAAATATGGTTAAATTCATGTGCAGTTTTAATAAATCATTAGGAATTGAACCAGATAATTTGTAGAAAATAAGTTTACTACATAATGAAGATTATCTGATGCTAAATAAAAAATGCTTTACTTTTATTTCAAAACGCAATATCTATTGCTATATACAATAAAAGTTCTAAACTTTTTTTTTTTTTTATTATAACCCTGATGCTTAGGTTAGGGGCATGTGTGGCACTCTTTTATTAATAATGTTTATTATTATCTGTAATGTAAATATTTGGTAATCTTCTTCCTATTTAAACTTTTGTATATTGGCATCAGATTTCATAGATTGTGTTAATATGCAGCCATAATGCTGTTTGTAATCCTTCTTTACTCTTTATGTTTAATGCATTAAAGATTTATTATAGTGTTCTGGGGGATGTTCAGCTTGTCTAGTGTCAAGAAAGGAGTAAGCTAGCTTCCAAATTTCTTGACTGATTCTGCAGTTTATAATAAAGTGTTCGATGGTTTGCAGTTCATCAATGCACCATATACAGTCACCACTTTCTTCTGGGCTTACATGACGCAGTCAATAACCAAGTGGAAGAGCTCTGTGAAAGAGGCACCAGGCAATATCTTTTTTTCTATTTTCTATTGCCTTTACATCTAACCATCAGTTAATAAGACTTCTTTTCAGGTTTGTATTTACAGGATTTGTAGTTTTTTTCCTTAAGAATTCTGCTAGACTTTTTACTAAGATTTTATTTCCTTTTTTTTCCTCCTGCTATAAGGTCTTCTTTATGCCAAGGCCAATCAGTAGAAGCATTAACTGTTCCTTCTATTCTTTTTCAGGCAAGAATATATGATTTCCATTCTGTTGGCCAAGCTGCTGATTTTATTGGTAATCCTTTTAATGCTTGTAGAACTAAGATATTTCTTTTTTCTTTTATTATTGTTGTAATCTTTCCTCTCTCAAATTTAGACCATAAAAAGTTTCCTGTTAGGAGCTTTAGCCAAACTGTTAGTAATCTTGTGTCAAGCATATCCTTCATGATCAGAGCTTCTAGTCCTTGTTGGTCTGCAGAAAGCTGAAAGACTAAGTATTTAGTAACATCTTTGAAGTTCCTTTTATCCATAGTGTAATTATCTAGTTAATCTCTGTTATTTGTTTTCTGTTTGGTGGTAGAAGATATGCTGTATACCAAATTTTTGAGATTATTAATGATTTAACTATTAATATTTTTCCTTTAAGTGAAAGGTTTCTTTGGGCTATGCCTTCTAAGGAGCTTTTTAGCTTCTTGATCATTGTTGTTCATTGGGTTGAATCGTATATCCCAGAATGGTTAATGTTTCATGTTCTGTTACTTTTTTGAAGTGTTCTTCTTCTGATAATCTGACTTGTCTA